TCTCTCTCTCTCTCTCTCTCTCTCTCTCTCTCTCTCTCTTTCCCCCCGCCCCCTTCCTATCCTCAAATGAAGCTGTTTTTAAAAAAAGAATATCTAGAATTAACAACAAAACAAAGAAAACCTACTAAATGGGAGAAGGTATTCACTAATAAAACATTCGATAAGGGGTTAATAGTGTATCCAAAATATATAAAGAATTCAGACAACTCAAACCAGAAAAACACACAACCCAATTAAAAATGGGCAGAAGACCTGAATAGACACTTTCAAAAGGATACACAGATGGCCAATAAACATATGAAATTTGCTCTCAACATCACTAATCATCAGAGAAATGCAAATTAAAATGATAATGAGATATCACCTCACACCTGTCAGAATGGTGATCATCCATAAATCAACACACAACAAATGTTGGTGAAGATGCGGAGAAAAGGGAACCCTAGTGCACTGTTGGTAGGAATGCAGTTTGGTACAACCACTATGGAAAAATGTGTGACGGCTCCTCAAAAAATTGAAAATGGAACTTCCTTATGACCCAGTAGCGGGCATGAAGGAGGCAGCCGATCAATGTTTTTCTTATATGGAAGCAACCCAGGTTCCCATCAACAGACAACTGGATAAAGAAGGTGTAGTATATATATAATGAAATATTACTCAGCCATGAAAAAATAATGAAATCTAATAAATAAATAAATAATGAAATCTTACCATTTTTGATAGCATGGATGGACCTAGGTATTATGCTAAGTGAAATAAGCCAGACAGAGACAAATACTGTAAGATATTACTTATATGTAGAATCTAAAAAACAAAACAGAAACAGATTTATAGTTACAGAAAACAAACTAATGGAGGCCATTTTGAGGGATGGGGTAAAAAAGGGTGATAAGATTAAGAAGTACTAATTGGTAGCCACAAAATAGGTATATGATGTCAGGTAAAGCACAGGGAATATAGTTAACAATCCTATATAATAAAAGCATAGTATGCAAATTATCCCCTCGACCGGGAGTTCCTCTGGAAGTTCGACCAGGGGGTGGGGCCAGCCAAGGGAAGGGAGGGAGTACCTGCCCAGCAGCCAGCAGCTGTTAGGGACCGTACCAGTGCAGGAATTTCGTGCACTGGGCCTCTAGTATTGTAATAACTATGGTGCCAGGTGGGCACTTGAATTATCAGAGGGATCACTTTGTAACCTATATGAATGTCTATCAACTGTGTTGTACTCCTGAAACTAATACAAAAAAAGTGTTGAATGTAAACTATAATCAAAAATAAAATTAAAACAAAAAGAATATCTGGAATTGATAATGTACCCTAGCCATCTGCCAGAAACAAATGAAAATCTCTAAAGGAAGATAACAAAATCCTGGATCTAAAAATATTTCTACAATTTTTAAACACAATATTCTGTATATGATAAAAATTAACCAACCTATGAGAAAGCAAGAGAGCATGATAGAAAAAAAGAGTAAACAACAGATGATAGAAACAAAGCCACAGGGAATCCAGATAATAGAGTTATCAGACTTTATTCTAAATATGTTTAAGGAAAATCTTTTACATCAAGAATTATAGCACAGAACTAGAAATTATCAAAGAAAACAAAATCAAAATTCTAGAACTGAAAAATGCAATGAGTTGAAGAACTTGGTGGTTAGGTTTAAGAGCAGAATAGACACAGTTGAAACCTGCAGATAAATGTTTATAGCAATTTTATTCATAAGTGCCAAAAATTGAAATCAACCAAGATATTTTTTCCACAGGTAAATGGACAAGGTGTGGTACATCCATACACTAGAATATTATTTAGCAATGAAAAGAAATTAGCGATGAAGCCACTAAAAGACATGGAGAAACCTTAAAGGCATATTGTTAGGTGAAAGAAGCCAGTCTGAAAAGGCTACATACTGTATAATCCAACTATATGACATTCTGGAAAAGGAAAAACTATAGAGACAGTAAAAAGATTAGTAGTTGCCAAGGGTTGAGGGAACTGAGGAGGTAAGAATACGTAGAATAACAATAGAAATTATTTTTAAATACCTGGAAAAAGGGAAGGCTGGGTGGAGGTGGGCAAAGGGAGGAGGGGAAATGGGGGATATTTGCAATACTGTCGATAATCATTTTTTTAAAAAGAATAGGTTTGGGGGTGGGGGATAAGAGATCAACCAAAGGACTTGTATGCATGCATATAAGCATAACCAATGGACACAGACACTAGGGGGGTGAGGGCATGTGCTGGGGGGTGGGGGTGGCTGGGAAGAGCTCAATGGGGGGAAAAGGAGACATTGTAATACTATATGTAATACTTTAAACAATAAAGAATTTAAAATTTAAAAAAAAGAATAGGTGGAATACGGTCGTTTCAGGGTGCTGAAATTATACTATAAAGGTGGATACATGACAATATGCATTTGTCAAAACCTATAGAATGCACAGCAGACAGAGTGACTCTAATGTAAACTATGGACTTTAGTAATAGAGTATCAATATTAGTTCATCGGTTATAACAAACAAACCACACCAACGCAGATGTTAATGACAGGAGAAATTGGGGAGATAAAAGGAAGGGATTATATGGAAAACTCGCTGTATTTTCTTTTTTTATTTTCCTTTAAACCTAAAACTTCTCTAGAAAGCAGAGTCTATAGTGTTGGGGTGTTTTAATGTGTTTTTATTAATGTGTTTTTATTGAGAGGGAAAGAGAAAGAGAGAGAGAGAGAGAGAGAGAGAGAGAGAGAGAGAGAGAAACATTGGTGTTAGAGAAACATCATTGATTGGCTGCCTCCTGCATGCCCCTGACTGATGATCAAGTCCAAACCCGGGCATGTGCCCTGACCTGGAATCGAACCAGTGACCTCCTGGTTCATGGGTCGATGCTCAGCGACTGAGCCAAACCAGCCGAGCTATTAGGTGTTTTTTAATCTACAGCAAACAGCATTCTTAATGGTAAAATGTTGAAATGTTTTCCTGTCAAACTGGGAAGTAGATAAAGATGCCACTTACATTCAACACTATACTAGAAGTCCAGTAAATAGGCAAGAAAAAGAAAACCAACAAATACATTAAAATCTGACAAGTTTTTTGTTTTTGTGGTGTGTGTATGTGTGTGTGTGTGTGAAGTTGACTCTAAAATTTACACAAAATTGTAAAGGGCCAGGAATGACCATAACACTCACTACAGAAAAAAATTAGGAGGAGTTGATCTACTAAACATCAAGATTTTTTTAATACAGGGATAGTAATTAGAACAATGTCGTACTGGCACAAGACACCAGTGGAACTGAATATAGAGTCCAGAGCAATAATACCTATATGGATACTTAATTTTTAGAATTAAAACTTCTTCTGGAAAGTAATATAAAAGAATATTTGTATGACTTTAGCATAGAAAGATGTCTGAAATAGGTTACACAATGTTTTATTCATAAAGTAAAAGATTGATATATTGAATTTATGGAAATGCAAAAGGCCAAGAAAAACTTAGGCACCCTTTTAAAAAGAAAAGAGTTAGCAGGCTTATACTACAGCTTTCAAGACCTATCAAACAGCTATAATAACATAAATAAGATTAGTAAGTATAAGTAAATTTTAAAAGCAATGTTTTTAAAAGATTTCAAAATAAAACTCTAGCTATTAATCTCCAACATTTATAGGGAACTCATACAACTTAACAAAAGGAAGATAAACAATCCAATAAAAAAATGGGCAAAGGGCCTAAATATACACCTTTCAAAAGAGGACATTCAGAAAGCCAAGAGACATATGAAAACATGCTCAAAGTCACTAATCATCTGAGAGATGCAAATCAAAACAACAATGAGGTACCATCTCACACCTGTCAGACTGGCTATCATCAACAAATCAACAAACGACAAGTGCTGGAGAGGATGTGGAGAAAAAGGAACACTTGTGCACTGCTGGTGGGAATGCAGACTGGTGCAGCCACTATGGAAGACAGTATGGAGTTTCCTCAAAAAACAAAACATGGAACTCCCATTTGACCCTGTGATCCCACTTCTAGGAATATATCCCAAGAAACCAAAAACACCAATCAGAAAGGATATATGCACCCATATGTTCATAGCAGCACAATTCACCATAGCTAAGATCTGGAAACAGCCTAAGTGCCCATCAGTAGATGAATGGATTAGAAAACTGTGGTACATCTACACGATGGAATACTATGCTGCTGTAAAAAAGAAGGAACTCTTACAATTTGCAACGGCATGGATGGAGCTGGAGAGCATTATGCTAAGTGAAATAAGCCAGTCAATGAAGGAAAAATACCACATGATCTCACTCATTCATGGATAATAGAGACCATTAAGAGCAGCATCGAACAGACTGTCAAATTACAGTGGGAAGGCTGGGGAGGGTTGGGGCGGGGGGTAAGAGATCAACCGAAGGGCTTGTATGCATGCATATAAGCATAACCAATGGACATAAGACACTGGGGGGTAGGGGAGGCCGTGGGAATGTCAAGGGGGGTGGGAGGAAGGAGACATATGTAATACTCTTTGTAATACTTTAAGCAATAAAACAAAATTAAAAAAAAAACTCTAGCTAAAAATAGTTTGTAGTACATACCCCAGGAAAAATCTTACATTGGATTTAATATCAGAAAAAAAAGTTAAATCCTTCGGGTAGATGAACTGATACACTTTATCAGAGAATTAAAGTTATGGTCCATTTTGCTGTCCCTTCCAGTAAATTTAAATATGTTTAGTGGTCAAGTGTAATCAGCAACTAATCACAGCTTCAAAACATCTCTTGGGGGTTTTTTTACGTGCTTTCTATTAGGTATTAAGTACGTACTTCAAAATATTTACAAGTATTAAATGAATAAGCGACACAGCTGTGTCCTTTAAACCATTCTCCTCCCATATTTGTCATGGAGATAAGAGAAATAGCTATTTCTAAGGTTACATAGCCAAAACCAGGACTTGGTTAGTTCAAAATTATTTTGATGACACCTGAAAATCAAAGATGTTTACCTGATCAAGCCCTTCCCCAGCTTTCCTAAGATTCTGTAGTTGGTAAACTTCTAGGTTTCTTCCATTATCTTGACAGCACAAATCAATTACAACACAGTCCTGGTCCTCAAAAGCATTGATTTGATGAAAAGTAACAAAAGGCTTACTGTAGTACATCCCTGGAAGAAGCTGCAGGGAAAATATAAACAATGAAAGAGACGTTTTCTTTTCTTTTCTTTTTTCTTTAGAGAACAGATGCACCAAGCTCGAATTAATATTTCTCCCTGTTATGTGACAGGGCATATAGGTGCAAAAGATAAAAATTGCAATGTAGAAGCAAATATGCTTTGATTTAACCATTGCTTGCTTAAGCCATCTCACCTCATATTAATCAACAAACTGGGGCTGTTTAATACAGACCAATTGACTATTACAACTAACTTCAGTGTTTTGATCCTGAACTCTACATGGTTAAATAGAAAACACTGCTGCCCTGGCTGGTGTGGCTCAGTTGTCTGGGCATCGTCCCATGCACCAAAATGTTGCCAGTTTGATTCCCAGTCAGGACACATGCCTAAGTTGCAGGCTCGATCCCAGGTAGGGAGCGGGCAGGAGGCAGTCAATTGATGTTCTGCTCTCACATTGATGTTTCTCTGTCTCTTCCTCTCCCTTCCTCTCTCTCTAAAAATCAATAAAAACATTTTTTTTAAAAAAACACTGCTAGGTGAGGACGTGTGGGGGTGTGAGGGTGGCCAGGTTCCTCTCTATGGGGAAAAAAAGGAGACATATGTAATACTATATGTAATACTTTAAACAATAAAGAATTTTTTTAAAAGACATGGAAATTAAAAAAACACTGCTATTAAGTAACATGATAAATTTAAGTGGTTAATTCTTTGAAAAATGCATTCATTATTAACATGGAATTTTCTTAATAAAATGACAGTACAGTAAATTTAGGATACTATCTCTTTAGAGAGGGGGAAAATGAACAGATATAATAGTGCTATTAATAGAAAGATATTAGACTTTAGTAGGACTATCATATTTGTGTACCAAGAAGTTGTAAAAGCAACTAATTAAAGTATCATTGCAAAAGTTACAGAGGAACTTTGCATGAACAATATCCTCTTTTGCAAATATGATATGGAAAAGTCCATGCTAAGAGAGTTTCTAGATGCCATTTTAATTAAATCAGATAATTTAAAGGATAAAGCCATTTCCTACAATGTTCTAATATGCTAAATCCACTGTGTTAATTAATAAGTAGCTAGTCCTACCTATGAAAGAAGGTACTATCCTTGATTAAGAGTCATGCAAGTAATGCCCAGTGAAAGTAAAAATCAAGCAAGTGGAAATGTGCCGTTGTTTCCAATCATTTTCATGATAAATATATTCAAAATACCCCACCTGTCCAGTGTGCTTATTCACCACATGAAACCGTGTGTTATACTGGGGCTCCCAGCTTATTCCATCTGAGAAGGCCTTTCCCCGAATTTTAGAAGTGACTATTTTCCACAGATTAATTTTTAAAGGTTGTTCAATGAAGATTATGTAGTTCTTCGTCATTCCTAAAAGGTTCCAGCAAACATTAAAGTGTTATTTGGTAAACTAGAGTTGTCTGCAACGTGACAGTTAAGGGAACATGTCTGAATGCTGGCACACATGACTGCTGACCCAGACAAAGGCGAGCCAAAAGTAATTCTCCCTGTTTCCCAGCTTTGTCACACAGATTTCCTGTTCCTATTTTAAAAGGGGAAGTGCTTAGAATAGTTTGGTTGAGTGCACTATACTCACTTTTTTTCTTTTTTTAAAAATTGTTGTGGTTTAAGAACAAGTAAAGAAGCATAATATGAAAGTGTGATTTATGATCTGAACCTTTATTCCATAATCCTTTTGCTATTTATACCAGGGGTAAGGACCCAGGAGCAGATTGTCTATAAAGGTTTAGAATACAGAAGATAAATCTTCTGAGAAAAAGCTAAAGCAATCTATATAGAATATGAATTTCCCCCAAAAATATAGTCAAGATCTTTATTTGTGGTCTTTAAAATTATCTAAAATTTTGAATCCTGTCAATTAATTTTTTATGGTCAAATGTTTTTTTTAAATTAAGACTTCAACTTTTTAGAACAGTTTTAGGTTCGGAATAAAACTGAGGGAAAAGTACAGAGATTTCCCATATACCTCTTGTCCCCCACACATGCATAACCTCTGCATTATCGACATCCCCCACCAGAGTAGTACATTTCTTATAATTGACTAGAGATCCGATGCACAAAATTCATGCAAGAGTAGGCCTTCCATCCCCTGGCTGCCAGCACTGGCTTCCCTCTGGCACCCAGGACTCAGGCTTCCCTCGAAGCCCTGGCTTCATCCAGAAGGATGACTGGTCTAATTAGCATATTATGTTTTTATTATTATAAATGAACCTACATTGACTCATCATAATCACCCAAAGTTCATTGTTTACATTATGGTTCACTCTTGATGTTGTCAATTAATTTTTTAGTGATTGCTTGTACTAAAATAACTATTCTTTCAAGCAGTCAGTTGGTTAGGGAAAGAAGTATATTACTAACCAGAATAATTTTAAGTGGCATTAAAATGCAACCTTGATCCAAAATGTTACTATACTCTGATAAACTGTATTAACATAGTATTTGCCTCAGGTACTGTGACACTAAAGCAGGCCCCATTGCAATTTGCTTCATCTCTGGACTCACCGAAACTATGGTAATAAGAAGGTTTAAAACTCTGTGCAGAAGCAATCGAACATATCACTTGGGCTCCATGGATTGTATCCCCAAGATTCCCCTTTTCTGGAGGAATCCGAATAATATTATAGCAAGAACCTGGAAAGTGGAAAATTCTGTCTTAACAATTTTACATATATCCTAAGAATAAAAGATAACCCTTGCACTTATGGACTAGGCAAAAGCAGTTAAGAGATTTATGCAATGTGCATGACACCCATATTTCAAACAGACTTAGATATCAAAAACGTATGAACTTTATGAAAGTCATTAGCTAAGATTTTCAAACACCACACCCAAAGTAATCCACCAAGTTTATTATATTGTAATATTCTCAAATAGTTATCCTCTCACACCCTGAAAATGAACTCAATTTCTACTTCATAGGAAAAAAATAAGCTTAGCAGCCAGGAATACCCTCAAATTCTATTCGTCGCTCTCCCCACTACCCAAACCCAGCAACTACAATCTCTAGTTGCATCCATGTCCAAATCCTTCCCTCCAGTTCTCTGGGTCCTTGGGGTTGCTTTAGGCCCCATCTGATCCCGTCTCATCAACATTCATTCATGCAATCATTCATCTGACTATTACTACTACTTCAAGAATCAACTCAGGTACCCATCCACTCAAGAAGCCTTCCCTGAGTCTTCCCCACCCCAAGTCATCTGGTGCCCCTCCTTCTATGCCCTCATTATCTCTTATATAGTCATAGCACTTATCTCATTGTATTATAATTATCTACTTGCTTGTCTGCTTCTACTGGGAGAAGCAGATAAACAACTAGAGCTTTTCAAGAGCAGATTTATCTGCTCCACCTTTGCATCCTCAGTACCAAAGACATACATTTAGTGAGTACACTATAAATAGCTATTAGTGGATTGACTAACAACATGTTTGTTAAATCATTCAATGAATGAACAAATATTGAGGTCATATTAAATGATCTTCCTGGTAATATTAGAATTGCCAATGTAGGTCCTAAAGAACTTGGATAACTTGAAGTATTTTGCAACCACTAAACTTTTTTTGGAACAAGATAACCATACAGTTCTCTATTAGTTTATTCAACAAGTACTTGTTGAGTGCCAATTATATTGCAGGCACTCTTCTTCGTGTCATAAATACCCTATTCTAGACACTTGTATATACCAGTGTACAAAATTGACAAAAGACTCTTCTTTTATAAAGCTCAAATTCTAATAAACCATACAATAAGTAAAAATATAATGCTTCAGATGATGATAAGAGCTGTAATGGAAAATAAACCAGAAAATGGGGATCTGGCGTAAGTGTACAAGGATGGGTGCTATTATTTACAATTTTAAATATGGTGGTCTGGGAAGGCTTCATAAGAAAATGGCATTTGAATAAAATTATGAAGGAGGTGAGGAAGAGAGTTTGGTGATATCTTGGAGAAATGCCTTCCGAGAGGAGAGAAGAACAAATGCAAAGAATCTCAGCCAGGAGTTAGTTTACAGTGTTCAAGTACATAACAGCAAGGAGGCCAGTGTGGCCTGTCATCGTGAGCAAGAATAGTCTAGATGAGGTGGAGTGAGTTTAAAAAAAAAAAAATGACTGTCTGGCTCTGGCCAGGTAGCTCAGTTGGTTGGAGCATTGTCCCAGGCACCAAAGGGTGATGGGTACCATCCCCTGTCGATTCAAAGACAAGGGCTGCTGATCAGTGTTTCTCTCTCTCTCTCCCTCTTCCTTCCTCACTCTCTAAAATCAATAAAAACATATTCGACAGTGAGGATTAAAAATAAACTTTTTAAAAAGTAAATAAACCTGTCTGATATGCTCAGAATAAACTTAAACGGGGTAAGGGCAGAAGCAAGGAGACTAGTTAAGAAACTATTATAATAATTCAAATGAGAGAGTTTAGCAAGTGGACAAGAGTTGTGCAAGTGAAGGTGATATGAGGTGATTGGATTTTAGATATATAAATATTTTTATATTTTTATAGATTTCAGAGAGGAAGGAAGAAGGAGACAGAAATGGAAACATCAATGATGAGAGAGATAATCATTGATGGGCTGCCTCCTCCACACCCCACACTGGAGATCAAGCCCACAACCCAAGCATGGGCCCTGACCGGGAATCAAGCCATGACCTCCTGGTTCATAGGCTGACACTCAACCATTGAGCCATTCTGGCCAGGCAGGTTTGGGATATATTTTGAAGGCATTGCTGAAATAATTTTTGACCTATTGGATGTTGATGTGAGAGACACAGGTGTGAAGGATGATTCCAAAGTTATCATCTTGAGCAACTGGAAAGATGGAGTTACCATCAACTGAGTTGGGAAGTTTTTTTTATTGATTTTTTTTTTTTTGAGAGAGAGAGAGCGAGAAGAAGGGAAAGGTAGAGAGAAACATTCATGCAAGAGCTAAGTATCAATCCCCTGGCTGCCTCTTGCATGCCCTCTACCGGGCATCAAGCCTGCAACCTAGGTATATAGTATATGCCTTAATGGGGAATGGAACCAGCAACCTTTTGGTACATGAGACAACACTCAATCAACTGAGCCATACCAGCCAGGGTGGTGGGAAATATTTTAAGCAGAGAAAGTTTAGGGGGAAAAATCAGGAGTTTGGTTTTAGACAAGTTAATTTTGTAATGCCTAGTAGACATCTAGTAAAAACAGTGAGTAAGCAATCTACATATATATAAAAGCCTAAGCGACCAAACAACCGAATGACCAGAATGACTGGTCACTATGATGCTCAATGCAGAAGCTACCCCTTGGTGGTCAGTGCGCTCCCACAGCGGGAGCACCACTCAGCTGTCTGACCTGTCCTGGAGTCCCACCAGCCCAGCGGCAGCCACTCACTCCCTTAGTAGTCCTAACAGGTCCACTCTCCAGAGAACAGGCCAAGTACCAACGGACCAGTGCTGCCAGCACAATCCTGACAGTGCTGCCGGCCTCCTGGAAGTTGGCCTCGGGCACCGCGACTGCTTCCCCTCCCTAGACACTCCACAAGGAAGAAATAATATAAAAGCGGCTGCCAGGTAGCTCCCAACAACCAGCGCGAATGTCAGCAGGACGGATCCAGATCCCAGGCCAGCAAGGTCATCCCACAGCCCACCCTGAGGACCAATCGTATCCCAGCCTCCCCCACCCCTTTGGGACCCCACCTGTGCACAAATTTGTGCACTGGGCCTCTAGTTAGATATAAAATACTGGGGAGGTCTAGGTTGGGGATATAGATGTGTTTTGAGAGCTCATTGTATATAAAACATCATGATTTTATACAGTGATGAGTTATAAAAGGATTAAGATAAGCTCCATAGTTCCAAGAGTACTAAGTAATCATCTATAATAATCCTAAGGAGACATATGTAATACTCTTTGTAATACTTTAAGCAATAAAACAAAATTTTTTTTAAAAAGTGAAAAACTGGAGATTTGCCCTTAGAAATTAAATATTTTTCTCTCTTTAACTGATGGAAACATGCTATGGAAACTAGTCACAAAATTGCTGCATTATAAGTATATTAAAAAAGTTAAAAGCCCTAGTACATGACAGGGTCTTTGAATTTGCCTCAAGAAGATATCCCATTTAATACTTTCCCTTAAATATTGATACAAAATCAGAAGTCAGCCAAACATCTTGGCAATTCTAAGAAATTATACTTTAAGTGAAGTATGCAAACTCTTATTTTTGTTTTCTAATCTTAGTTCAGAAAAAAATGGAAAGTACAAATATTCAGTCCCCAAAGAAACATTAACTCCTCACACTGGGCTGCTTTGGAATAAAAAGTCCTACATGTGTGCCCTGTGAACTTAGCTAATAATAACTATGAGTACTGCAATTTCTGCATTTCCTGATTTGTACTAAAATTGCAAGTATATTAGTTTAATATTTTATAGGGGTTTGGGAAGACGGCTCTTGAAATTTTCAAGGTCTATATAGGGTTGTTATTCCTCTGGAAGGAAAAATTCAGCATCTGACAATAATTCTCTATAATCTTTTACTTGGACAAAGGCTCTGATTGATTATAGTTATGGCTTTTCCTCACACACAAAGTGAACAATTTCACAAGTAAAGAGGTTCACTTTTTTCTCTTTTGTTCAAAATAACAAAAATTATACACCATACCCTCTCTTTGTCTCTGTCCTAGATTCACCAAAGAATTAGGTCTAATCCCAGGCACCCTGATTAGTTACCCAGTTATCATAGATACTTTTAAAAAGGGAGAGTTTTTTATTTGAACACTAAAGTTATGCTTAATGTTTTGCAAGAGTTCCATTGACACTATTCTTTATTCTGTGTTGTTGTCTTTATTTCTTTGTTTTTGTGGCCCTTCACAACCACAGAGCACTCTTTTATTGACTATTGACCAAAACCTATTCAAATAATAAACCATATCATAATTCTAAATTATTTTGTAGAAATAACAGGTTTATATTCAGATGCATAAATTATCCTACATAAACCCTTCTCTCCAAAAGAAATATGTAATTTTGTTTTCCCATGGTCATAAGAAACAGTAAGCTTTTTGTTATTATTTTTCATAGCAGCATTCATATATCTTAAATTTGGGGTATATTGATGACATTACCTGGAAACTTGCTATAACTCAAAAATTCCAAAATTCAAGAGAGTTGGCAAATGATTTTAAAATTATTAAGTTTGATTTTAAAAGTAGTATAAAATAATCAGAGCAGTTAGCATTTACTGAGTACTTTTTGTTAAACATCTATGACAAAGAATAGTTAGGCCTCCTCAACCATTCCCTCTCTGTTGGGTCAGTTCTGTCAACATGCTATATAATGTCTGCCTCTTAAAAAAAATCCTTTTGGGCCTTTTTCCCTGAGCTAGCTTGTTTTTCTCTTCTTCCCTTTTATAGAAAAAAATCTTAACAGCATCTGTACTCACCATCCTTACTTTCTTTCCTCCTATTTCTATTTTTAACCCCCTCTAATCAGGCTTTTGTTTCTTGACTCTTCAAGGTCACTAATTCTTGCCAAATCCAGTGATCTATTCTCAGTCTTCATTGTATTGTACCTTTCTCAAAGCAGCATTTGACAATAATTGATCAAAACTACTTCTTGACAAACTTTCTTCTTTTGGCTTTACACTGGTTTTCCTCCTATGTAACTGGCCACCTCCTTTTTTCCTATCTTTTCTTACTCTTCCTTGCCTCTAAATTTTGAAGTGCCCTCCAAACTGATCTTCACAGAAATTTTCATGTTTCTTTGTTACTGTTTGCATAGAACTCTGAGTTCTGTGTGTGTAGAGATCCTGGTTCCCAAAGGGAGACCATTTCTGCTGGGGGACATGGTAAGAGTCCAACTGAACTGCAAAGTATAGCCACTGCCCAGACATTTCTAACTTCTTGTGTCCAGGGACAAGTAAGCCAGATAAGGAGTCACCATTTTTGCAGGGAAAATTGACCCTGATCAGCAAGATGTGGTAGGGCGGGTTGGAATATGTGTGGAGCTTAGGTGATCTGCTTGGGTGATCCTTAGTATACCCTAGTCCACTTCTGATGAAATATTGACAAGTCTAGCCAGAGAAGGTCATGGTGAGCAGTGATCACTTACCACAGAGAAAAAAGTCTGTGTCATGCCACCAGGTAAGCCATTAAGACCAGTAGAGATGATAAGTGAGGGTGAGGAGAATCTAGAAAGCATAGTAGAGGAGAGAGACAGACAGTGTTAGTGGTGATCCTGTGACCAGCTGCAGCAGTGGGAACTCTGGTTTGTCCCACTAACCTTTCTTTTCCTAAAATCTCTGTCATCAGTGATGCAGCAGGAAAAGTCCCACTGATAATATCAAACAGAGTCAGAAAGTTTTCTGTCAGACTATCAGTGTACATGTATACATTAAAAAATAAATGTATTTTTCATCATCATATACTGTGTTTTTGTTGCTCGAAAGAATTTTATTATTTCTTCAAGGTTCTTCACATACGTACACCTTAAGTGATATCAAGTAGGCGTAACATGTTCTCAAAAAATTAGGGTTGGCAGGCAGAAGAATTTTGAGTCAGAGATTTTGCTGGTTTTGGCATGCACTCACAAAAAGGTTGCCCACCCCTGTCTTAGGTTGTTGAACTCCCTGCAATCATATGTATAATTGAGTGCCAGTTCTTAAACTTCCCACTGAATCAAATAATTAAGAAAAAAAAAAGTAAATTTAGTTTCAGTTGAGATTGGAAGATAAAACAATTTCCTCTCTCGGCATTCGGATAATTAATGATTACTCAATCCACTACATTTAAACACAACTAGTCATGAACTGTTCTATCTGCAAGTCATGATGGCATGCATACGCGAGGCAGAGACACCCAGGAAACACCCAGCAGAGGAATGACTTGCCCAATACAGTTCATCTAACCTGGGAACTCTTCAGGACTCTTTAAACAGCAAACTGAGGCAAAGTAACAAGCACAGCGTCTGGTAAGTGCCAGAAGGGTTTCTCAAAGATCTAAGGGCTGCTTGAGCCAAAATCATCGGGGACCTTGTTAAAATGCACCAAGAGATGAGGAGCTGTTAAATTCTTGGCCCCTTTTTGGGTCTACTGAACCACTATCTTGGAAGATGAAGCTCGGTAACCTACATTGCTAAGAAGCATTCCAGATGATTCTTAGACACACTACAGGCTGAGAATGACTGATCTAATGACTGTTTTAGAATATATAATTCAGAATGGTTAAACAGTACTTAAAAGGGATGTTTGCTGCTTCCTATTACAGCTGTGAAGAATACATTCCTACCTGAGGTCAGATAATAAAGAAGAGAGAGAGCTGGGTACCCCATCTCTACTTGAGCCAGTAAAGAACAACCCCGCAGTATTCATTTTCACATACACCCATGTGTAAATATGGAGAGGAACAGATGAACAACTCACAATGCCAATTGTTTACCAAAGTTACACATTAACCTATACAAAAGTTTTATAGGTTATAGAAGACTGATTGACAGATAAGCTAGTCAGAAATATCTAATACATGTTTCATTTAAACACAGACATGTGTGCTCAGATATAGGAACATGAATTTGCATGTCCTGAGTCCCTTCTGTACTCAGAGGTGAATAATTATTAAGGTGGTCTACAGAGTGTGTGTGTTTCAGACTTGGTGCCAAGTCTGGTTTTAGACACTTAGAAGCTTGCCTAAGCAAGTATCTTAAACCTTGTCAAGGCCCACTATCTATAAAAAGAAGTAATAAGCCCTAGCTGGTTTTGCTCAGTGGATAGAGCATCAGCCTGCGGACTGAAGGGACCCAGGTTCGAATCCGGTCACGGGCACATATTTCAGTTGCGGGCTCGATCCCCTGTGGGGGCTGTGCAGGAGGCAGCCAATCAATGATATTCCTCTCTCATTGATGTTTTTATCTCTCTATCCCTCTCCATTCCTCTCTCTCTAAAAAGTCAATAAAAACATATTTAAAAAAGAAATAATAACACCTTTCTCAGATAAGTGTTAAAGGATTAAATGAGAAAATACCTAGAAAAATGTTTAATGCCAGCACATACTAAGCATTCAATAAATGTTAGCTATCATTATTAGCTATGAGAACTTTCTGGAGCAGATAGGTAGGCAGTTGGGGAAGTGGGTGACCAGGAAAGAGGTGTGATGTATGTGGTTGTAAATGCAACTGCACTGTAACTTTAACTTACTTTGTACTGTATCAATCCCATTATAAAAATAAATTCCTACCTATGTGATAGACAATGTATCTTGTCTACATCTTTGCTGCAGAATTCTAAATTGCTTATACTTACAATATGGTACTTTATCAAAATTCAAGTTTGAGAAATACATACAGAAAATCCCTACAATGCTTTTGAGCCAAAAAGCACAATGGAACATAAAAATGTGAGTGATGCTGAGAAGGTCAAATAGAAAATCAGCTGCTAAGCATATGTGCAAACGGACCGCAGAGTATGTACTCAATGATAAATTATGTACTTTAAGTTCAGTAATGCCATTTCGGAGATTTTTTCTGAACTTTTCAAATGAAGTTTCATAGGTTTACATCTTAACCACAATGGAACCCCAGGAAGATATTAACTTCGAATTATTTTTAAAAAGACTTCCATCCCACTTTACCATGTGGCCCATAGGAGTTCCCCATGTTGTATGCAGTTCCGTCTGGGTCATAATGAGGATGTGCAGTTGCTCCATTCACAGCAATGAATTTGCTCCAGTCTACCTGCAAATTGAAGACCATCAGAAACTTTTAAATGTTACATGGGCAGATCTCTATTTAGATGCGTAAACAGTAGAGATGTGTCAAATACCTTTAAAATAAGATATGAAAACTACAGCCCTAAGCCCTAATATCTCACCTCTGAGAAATCAAAATCATTTTCCCTGCCCTAACTGGTTTGGCTCAGTGGATAGAACGTCGGCCTGCGGACTCAAGGGTCCCAGGTTCGATTCCGGTCAAGGGCGTGTACCTTGGTTGCGGGCACATCCCCAGTAGGAGGTGTGCAGGAGGCAGCTGATCAATGTTTCTCTCTCATTGATGTTTCTAACTCTCTATCCCTCTCCCTTCCTCTCTGTAAAAAGTCAATAAAATATATTTTAAAAAGAATCATTTTCCCTTCTAAAGAAAAATAAATGAAAACACCCCCAAAATAAAGAAAAAACCCCCACCACTAACGAATAAAAAATGTACAAAAAGTATTACCCAATAAGGGTAAATTTCCCCCCAAGATCACAGGAAAGCTCAAAGAGTAAGAATTAAAATTAAAATTCTGGCCTCTCTCTCTCTCTCTCTCTATCACACACACACACACACACACACACACACACACACACACACACACACACACCTACCCCTTTCCCTTCCCCCTTGTCTTCCCCCAGGCGCAGTTACCTTTGCCTTTCTCTCTCCTAAGCTCCAAGGACCCTTCTTCTGCCTCTGTAACTTGTTTCCTGAGCCTACGCTGCCCAATTGGCTCACTTCTACTACCTCTGTAACTTTCTAAATAAGCTTTCTCTTATTTAAAAAATTAAATTAAATTAAAAATCTGGTCCAATTTTTTATTTAACTTTTAATTAATGTGTTAAGTGAAAGTAGTATGGGTCTAGACAATCTCCAGTCCAATTCTACCTGTAGCTAGGAAGAACATGAGCTGGCCACAGTAAATGTTTTTGTTTTGTTTTGTTTTGTTTTGTTTTTCTTTATATTTGTTTATTTTTTTATTTCAGAGAGGAAGGGAGAGAGAGAGAGAGAGAAACAGCAATGATGAGAGATAATCACTGATAGGCTGCCTCCTGCATGCCCTCTACTGGGAATCAAGCCTGCAACCCAAGCACCCTTGACTGGAATCGAACCCGGGACCCTTCAGTCCACAGGCCGACACTTTATCCACTGAGCCAAACCAGCTAGGACGTAAATGTTATTCTGTTTCTCCCTTACCCTAGTCTGCAGGGACTAAGAAAGAAGTCTAAAAGTATGGAAAACCAACCCAAGGTCATTCTAATCAGGACAGAGAGTGCATAGTGGGTAATTTGGTTATGTTTGGCTACGGTTCCAATTTCTTATTCAGATATCTACTATGCTGAAAAGTATTTTGAATGAAAAGAAATTTGGGGGCCCATTTTATTCATTTTTTAACCTACATTTTACCTTTTCTGTTTTTTCCAGGGTTTCAATGTCCACTTTATTCATAAAGTTGGTCTCAGTGCTCAGGTAGTAATCACCCTTGTACCGCACATAGTTGACACTGGTGTTGTCAGTTATTGCTGAAACCAAACCCCAGAGTTATTGAAGCACCACAAGAGGAGGGAGAAAGCAGTGTAAACATCCTCTCACACTGAAAAATCTATTTCAAACTCTATATAGAATGTCATTTCGCATAACAATCTAAATAATCACCATTATCACCTGCAAATTCTGGGCCAAGTAATAGCTGCTTACCAGGTAGCTCAAACTTGGACATGAAACGTTCAAAAACATTCCTGCATGGATCAGGGAGAGCCAGTGTGCCAAATTCTGAGATCACAATTCGATTCTGAGCACTGTTGGCCTTGTATGTATCACTCTGTAGAAACTTGCTCCTATATGTGATGGTGCCCTTCTCCATCCTAAACTGGTGAAGCAACGCCATTCCATCAAACCAGTGATTGTACCTTCAAATAGGAGCAAAAATAGAAAAACAAATGTTAATAAGAAAAACATGGGGTCAGAATGAGAGATTTCAAATACAGAGATAACGAAATGGAATGGGTTCCCAGCACAGCCCAATTAGCCAGAGAACCTGAAATTAAAGGATGATAGCTTGAGTACATCCTGGAGTACAACAGGACAGAGCAACTTACCTTCTCCTGACCCTTACCCTCTGTCAAAAACCTCACACTTCAGAAGGCTGAAGAAAAACCCTAAGCTGGTGCCTCCTAAAATAATTCTGATCTTTACCGTTGACAAGGAGACAATTCTGAGATGTTCTAAGTTGAATTACAGCAGGCCAGAGTGTAGAAGGAAGAGACGAGAAGGGGTTAGTCCAGGGGTGGGCAAACTTTTTGACTCGAGGGCCACAATGGGTTCTTAAACTGGACCGGAGGGCCGGAACAAAAGCATGGATGGAGTGTTTGTGTGAACTAATATAAATTCAAAGTAAACATCATTACATAAAAGGGTACGGTCTTTTTTTTTTTAGTTTTATTCATTTCAAACGGGCCGATCCGGTCCGCGGGCCGTAGTTTGCCCACGGCTGGGTTAGTCAGTTAACTTCAGGGCACAACCAACAAAAGACTGCTTTCATTCCTGAGTGTAAGTGGGAACTTTGAATTAACCTCCAGGTGGCTATTCCCATCACTATCTGAAAGAGACTACCAGGCATCGCCCACTGGAGGAGCCTCTGCTTCTTGCTTACACAGGAACTTTCTACAACCGACCAAAGGAGCAAACAGACTCTGCATCTATCCCAGAACTGAGCCTCCTTCACCGTATCCAACCCACCTTGTCTGTAGCCAATGTAAATTCTTTCCAATGTACATCTTTCTTCCCCCTACCTGATGTATAAAAAGCCCTTCAACTCCAGGACAGCGGGCATACTTGTCTTTCCCACTAGCTGTGCTGGTTGTTTAGACTTCATGCCCCAGCACCTGATCTTTCTTGCTAGCAATGGCCCAATGAATCTTTTAGTTTAAAAAGGCTTTCAGCAGTGGAGGTTCTTTTCACCCTATAGCCAAGAGAAGAGCATAAGAGGATATGGAATGCTTGACATCTCTCAAATTCAAATGGGTTTCTAAGCTTTTAGAAATCTTTATATTCATATCTTACATGCATTACATTGTCCATGTACTTCAAAATTTTTCAAATTTATCAAAATTATGCAAAAGTAAACACTAGAAATTATCTATTTTAAAGAGGGAACATTGAAAAACTCTAAGGAAAAGTTTGTGGTTTTGCTTTTAAAAGGGTTTAACATCATATAGTCTTTTCTTTCATATGCTTGACAGTTTGAATTCTTAATGTCTTCAGCATGGATAAGCAAGGCAAACATCATTGTCTTAAATGGCAATGGTCCTGAAAGCAGGGATTCAAAGAGATTCAAAGTGTTTATAGTATCATTATTTACAATAACCTAAAGGTGAAAGCAATCCAAGTATCCATCAATGAATGAATGGATAAGCAAAATGTTTACATACAATGTAATACTATTCAGCCTTTAAAAGGAAGGAAATTCTCCAAAAAATAAAAATAAAAAACAAAAGTAAAAGGAAGGAAATTCTCTTACATGTTACAACATGGATGAAACTTGAGGACATTATGCTAAATTCAACAAGACAGTCACAAAATGACAAATAATGTGTGATAAGAGTTATATGAGGTATCTAAAGTAGTCAAATTCATAGAAAAAGAAAGTAGAATGGTGGATACCAAGGGCTGGGGGCAGGGGGAAATGAGTAGCTATTGTTTAATGGGTATAGAATTTCCATTTTTACAAGATGTAAAAGTTCTGAAGATCTGTTTCACAACGATGTGAATAAATTTAACACTAACCTGTACACTTAAAAATGCTAAGATGGCAAATTTTGTGTTATGAGTTGTTTACCACAATAAAAAAAATAGGATATAAGAAAGAAAGGGGGGAAGCAAAGCCCTCTTTACCCAATAATTTCACATACCATATTTATCATAAACTACATTTCCATAAGTTCTTGGATCTATATCTGGGCTTTCTGGTCTAAATCACTATTTGTCTATTCATGCACCAATATCACAATGTTTTAATTATAGAGGCTTTATAGTATATCTTAATGTCTGGTAGAGATAATTCCACCACTGAAAATTCTCTTGTTAGTGTTTTCTTGATGTTCTTGCATATTTATTTTTCCATATGAACTTTAGTATAAATTTGTTTACTTCCTTAAAAAACTGTTGGAATTTTTATTAAGATTATATCAAATTTTAAAAATTAATTTATGAAGAACTGATATCTTTATGATGTTGAATCATGCTATTCAAGGACAGAAGATGTCTGGAGAAACCAAGATGGCAGCATAGGTAAACACCGGAAAATGCTGCCTCACACAACCACTTCAAAAATACAACTAAAAGACAAAACGGACATCATCCAGAACCACAGAAAGGCTGGCTGAGTGGAAATTCTACAACTAGAAGGAAAGAGAAAAGCACACTGAGACTCAGAGGAGGTG